CTCTGAGCCTGCCTCTCCACACCATAAGCTCTGGAGGGGCCGAGGTGGGGCCGTGGCCATCCAGGGGTCCAGTGGGGAGGACCATGAGGACCTTCCCTTCCCTCAGCACATGCCGCAGATGCTTTCATCCTCGGTCTTCAGAGCAACTTTGGTCCTTGTCCCAGACCTCCTGGCCAACCAGAGTTGCCTCCTCTGGCGTAGACGGAGCAGAAACAGCCAGAGCTGGGATGGCCAGCTCCCGGGCTCGCAGGTCCAGGTGGGATTTCAAGTCAGTGACTTTCAAGACCCACCAGGGGGAAATGCAAGCCCAGACGCAAGAGGTTATCCAAGGGGACCAGTCCGGGGAGGGCAGGGTTGTCTGCACCAGGATGCTCACTGCAGCACTGCTCAGGATGCTGAACACTGGACAGAAGCTACGTGCCCGCGCACTGCGGATCGGGCGAGCCGCCTGGGCTCCTTCTATGCCCACGGCTGGCCTCGACGCCATCCGCCGCCACGTCTCGCCCTGTCCCCCTTGCCCTCTGCCCACAAGCTGCAGCGGCCACGCTCCCTCCAGCTTGGGGCCACGAGCGTGCCATGCCCGCTGCCTGGAACTCCCTTCCCTCCCCTCCTCAATTGGGTAACTGCCCTGTGCTTTCCAAATGCCAGTCCAGTCACCACTTCCTGCGAGACCTCTCTCCGACCGGTCAAATACCCTGGTAGCACGAGCCTTCTGGGCACTTGCAGCATCGGCAGTGGACTGTGTACAGTGTGGTTTCCAGTTAATCTTTTCCCCAGTTGGACTGTAAGTGCTGGTAAGGCAGGTACTGATCTGGTCTGTTCTCCACTATAAACCCAGAACCTAGCACAGTGCCTAGCCCACGATAGGCACTTGATACTTGGTGAATGCATGTATAATGAATGACTCATGCATATACCAAGATGCCCATGGTGTACTTACATGCATGATAAACACATAGGCTGCAAGATCTCTCCAGCTTGCTGAGATTTCTGTAAAAGCAAGTTATTTCTCTCTCTCTCTCTCTCTCTCTCTCTGTGTGTGTGTGTGTGTGTGTGTGTGTGTGTGTGTGTGTGTGTGTGTGTACATACACATACACAGAAAAAAATCTCAGAGGTGAGAACAGCAAGTCGAAAGTGGATTAGCAATCAGAACAGGGGCTGCAGGGGACACTTCTTTGCCTCCTGTGTGTATTTTCTACTTCAATTAACTCTGATGACTCTGAGATTAGAAGAGGGCAAGCAAGCCACGGGGTCTTGTTGAGATGCAGGTTCCAACGCAGCAGGTCTGGGTGGGCCGGAGCGTCTTCTGTCTAAGGAGCTCCCTGGAGGCAGCTGCTGTAATCTCGGACCCAGGTGAGCCCAGGCTGTGGGGAGGGGGGATCCATGGAGAAGGAGGGGAGCCTCGGAGGGGGGAGAGGGGAAGATAGGAACTCTCCCTGTCAGTCCCGATGGAGGAGCGGGGCGGGGGGTGTGGGAGGCAGGGGGAAGAAGAGGCAGATGGATGGACACAGGCTGCCCGAGCATCCCAGGCACAGGCACCGTGCGTGGGCAAGGAGGGGCAGTGGGGCAGGGGCTGGGCAGAGAGGCGAAGTGAGCAGGGCAGCAGGTGTCGCGCGGCGCTTGGAGGAGGCTCCCCCAGGTGTTTTCCGGAGTGTCCTGGGACTCCCTCCCTCCCTGGCCCAGCTCCCGGCCCACGACTCTCCACTCTCCTGTTCTGAGTCAGGCAGGGGAGACGAGCTGCAGGATGCGCCCTCCAGACCCCAGGGCTGCTCACTGCCCGCCGAACTGGGCTGGGCTCGGGGAGGGGAGGCCAGCTGTCCCACTCGGCTCAGCTGTGCTGGGGCCTCTGAGGACAGAGCAGCCCCCTCGAAGCCAGCAGCTCAGCTCCTGTGGGGCCAGGTTGGGGCCCCTGGACACCTGGGATTGGGGCAGAGCCTGGGCCCATTCCTGGAGCCCTCGGGGCCACAGGGGGACCCAGTTAGAGGACACAGGCGGAAGCAAGGACATAATCTTCTGCCCAATGGCCAGGCCTGACCCCCGACCCTGGACTGAGCCCCCAGGGAAGGGATTCCATCCCCACACACTTCCCTCTGAAATAAACTTCCCAGCCTATCACCAAATGTGCCGCACCCTATGCAGGCATTCCCCAGGGCTCCCACCACCCACAGCTGGGTGGAGGTCAAGCTTTTTTTTGTTCCCTGAAGGAATTTTGACAAAATGATACCCCTCCACTTTCCAAGTCGATATCTATAATTCTTCATTCTATATTTAATGTTATGCTTTTATGAACAGAAACTAGAAGGCATTACACATTTCATAGAATGAAACACAATAAGGATTAACTGTGATCGGAAAATTTTATGACGTGATTTGATGAAATAGGCTTTAATTATAAAATCAAATAACCCTCTCAAAGTCTGAAGCTATGTGGAATTTTACTGAGTGGATTGTAATCCATTTTGTATTTCAAAATGTGAGAAGCCTAAAAAAGAGTCTAGTCCCACTGCGAGGAAGCCATTCCGCTGACTTCCACTCTAGCCGTCCTGAATTCAGAGCATCTCTGCCCAACTAAGCTCCAGTCACAGGCGATGTCACAGGGAGGTGATAGACACCTGTGGCTTGCAGTCTTGGCTAGCCATCCAAGACATCCCAGACCGGCCTGTCGTCCCCTAGTCCTGGGGCCCAGGAGCTTTGACCCGTATGCCTGTTTGCATGGTCATGCTGTATGTCCTGTACTACATGATTATGTTGTAAGTGGGTGAGAGCCGGGCTCGGTGGCTCAGCCTGTAATCCCGTGCCTTTGGGAAGCTGAGGTGAGTGGATTGCCTGAGCCTGTGGGTTCAAGTCCTGCCTGGGAAACTTGGCAAGACCTCATCTCTGCAATAAATCAAAAATTAGCCGGGCGTGGTAGCGCGCGCCTGTAGTTCCAGCTACTCGGAAGGCTGAGGCGGAAGGATCGCCAGAGCCCAGCAGGTCAAGGCTGCGGTGGCCGGGAGCGGCCACTGCACTCCAGTCTGGGCGACGGAGTAAGACTCCATCTCAAAAATAAATAAATAAATAAATGAAAATAAATATAAAAAATAAAAGTAAGTGGGTGAGAACAGAGACCTCCTAGGCCCCCCTCACAGCCGAATACTGCCCACTCACAAGGCGAGAAGTTTCTGACCTTGGCTCCAACGGGCCCTCCACTCAGGTGTCCATTGTCTGGCCTGGCTCCCAGGAGACTCCCTTACCTGCCGAGTTGGCGCAGTCTCTTCTCTGAGGCTCCAGCACCTTCCAGCCCACCCAGGGTCATCTGAGCCTGGCGGGTCTCCCTCACGGTGCCCCATAGAGAAGCCCCATCTCACTGTCTCACTCACCACCCCGTCACTTCTCCACTGGCTTCTTGGGGAGCCACCAGCACATGGCTTGGGCAAATAAGCGCTGGTAGGATAAATACACAGGCAAGGGGGTGTCACTAAAAGTTGCCGCATCAGCCGGGCACAGTGGCTCAGCCTATAGTCCCAGCACTTGGGAGGCCAAGATGAGAGGATTACCGAGCCCAGGGGTTTGAGACCAGCTTGGGCAACTTGGCGAGACCTCATCTCTAACAATAAGTCAAAAAATTAGCTGGGCTAATTTAGCGACTTGTAAGGTTGAGACAGAAGGATTGCCGAAGTCCAGCAGGTTGAGGCTGCAGTGGCCGTGAGCATGGCACTGGGCAACGGAGTGAGATTCCAACTGGAAAAAAAAAAAAATGCCACATCCCTTAGAGCTGGTCACAGCAACTCAACTCTCCTGGCTTGGGGACAAAACTATGGACTTGGCAGCCCACAGAAGTTGGTCCCAGCTCAAATGCCCAAGAAACAGCCCTTGATAGCGTCCCTTCCATTTAGACCATGCGCCCCATTCCCATCCCCCATGGCAACAGGAACCTCCACCCAGGAGTTCCTGAAAACTCCACAAGTGTTCACACTGACACTCTGACCTGCCACACACACACACACACACACACACACACCCTGTCCAGTGTCCCAAGCCCTGAGGGGAGTGGGCATAGGTAGCTGGGGCTGCCTCCGTCGTCAGCTTCTTCTCCATTTTAAGATGCTTCAACCCAAGTCTATCATTTTTTTTTTTTTTTTGAGTCGGGGTCTCACTCTGTGACCCAGTCTGGAGCATAGTGGCACAATCAAAGGTCACTGCAGCCTCGACTTCCTGGGCTCAGGTGATCCGTCTCAGCCTCCCAAGTAGCTGGGACTATAGGTGCAGGCCACAATGCCTAGCTAGTTTTTTCAATAGCTTTAAAAGACAAGGTCTTGCTCTGTCTCGCAGGCTGGTCTCAAACTCCTGGACTCAAGCAATCCTCCTGTGTCAGCCTCCCACAGTGCTGAAATTGCAGGTGTGAGCCATCATGACCAGTTCTGTGATTTTGAAGGAAAAACAAAACCTAATGTACACAGCATCCTCTAGCCTCTCCCTTGTCTCTCCTTCCATGTCCGTCCTAGACAAGTCACCAGAGAGAAGCTGAGACCTTTTTGTCTTCGATGATGGGTGAGTTAAAGCCAGGCCTTCTCCATCTCTGCAGAGCAGACGGGTGATGACAGGCCCGCTTTCCTCTGCCTGTCTGCTGACTGGGGGTGGCATCCTGGAATGCTGGGTGGTGAGGAGTCCCGAGGCAGAGTCCTGCTTCGGCAGGAAAGAGTGCTGGGAGCGATTAGCAATGTCTGCCTTGCCAGAGGAAGCAGGTGTGGAAACACATCGCAGGCTTTTAACACTTGGGAAGAAATCCCAACATCGAAAACTGGCCTGAGAATGGACGTTTTGGCCTACTCGGGTGGTTTTCTATAGTTTAAAATTGAGATTTGTTGCCATTATTTATGTAGTCGAAGGTTAACCACCTCCCCCAGAATGTTTTTAGATTCGGGGAGTCTCTGGAAAGCAGGAAGAGTTAGCTGCACTAGGCTCTGTTCTCACCTGGCCACGGCCACTGGGACCAAAAGGGTGAGGTCATGCAGTCCAGGTCACCAGCATTCACCCCCAGTCCCCGGCACAGCAGATCTACCTGGCCCATCAGCATCCATGTTTGTGACCCTGGACTTGATTGTTTTGCTTCTGCTGCTCCGGTGGGTGCCGAGGGGACTGCTATGAAACAGCTCCCAGGGGACCAGGATGGCTTCCCCAGGCCACCTGGGGACAGGAAGGAAGACAAGTTCACACATATTGAGTACCAAATGCTGTTTTGCCTTGTGCTGAGGGTTTTCAATAAGGGGGCAAAGCTAGGAAGGAGGTCATATGATCATTCCCATTTTGCAGACAGGGAAACTGAGGCTCCCACGTGAAGGGTCCAAGGTCGCCAGTAGGTAAGTGGCAGCGACAGGATTCTTATCTGGGCTGGGGCCCTTCCAGACTTGCGGCTGCAGCTCTCACCTCCTGACTCACCCTCCTCCACCGAGAGACCCAGGCGAGGAAGCCACTGCCACCCTAGTGTACTGATACCTTAAAGCAGAGCAGCGAGGAGCCTTTCACTTCTGTTTCCCTGGTTCTGACAAACTGTCTTTATTGACTTTTAGTAAATACTCTCCAAATGAAAGTGGCCACATGATGAGGCTGCTAAAGAAATCCTACACAGAATTTTACTTGCTAATTGAGTACAACATAAAACTAAACACAATAATACGTGATCACCAAACCTATGGGCTCAGGCTTCACTGATTTTTTTCTCACTCTTCCACTGAGCTTGCTTGCTTCGTGTGATGTTAAAATTGTGGGTCTAAACCAGCTCCTTGAGGATTAGTCTCAGGGCAAAACACGCATGGCGACTGTTGACACAGCCACACAACCGGTCTCAGGTGCAGTGGCCAACATGGACGGGGTACACCTTCAACACCAGGAGCCAGGACACGGTGTCTCACTCAGGGTGGGACCCCAGGCCGGTCCCTTCCCATCTCTGGGCTTCAGTTCTCCCATCTGTGGCACACAGCCGCTGAACTGGATCGGTGGGTTTAAACAGTGTTTGGGAGCAGGCGGCTCACGCCTGCAGGTGTCAACACACAAGAACACCAGAGAGCGTCTTCAAGCAGGAGCTGCCGCAGCAGGAGCCAGTCTGAAAAAAGCCGGCGGAGAAAGACTTGCATTCGGGACCTGGATTCCTGCTCCTCCTTCCACACCATTTGCCTGGCGACTCTGCAGCCCCTTCTGTCAAAAGGGGCAGTCTCTGTCCCCAGCCCCTGGCTCTGGATGCAGACACATGGCACGCTTTGTCCCATAGAAGGAAGTGCAGGTGACAGCATGCCTGTCCCAGCCCGGCCCTCCAGAGCTGTATGCGTTTCCACGTGCTCCCCGGTGTGCGAAGGGTGTGTTCCACCTGGAGGGGGACGCGGACAGAGCCCCTCGCAGCTGAGACCAGAATCTCAAGAAATAGTTGACGTTAGCTGGCTTAACGCTGAGACCCGGGAGCAGCTGGTTACACGGCAGCAGCTGACGTCTCAAAGACAAAATCAGGCATATGAGTAGGCGTTTTACCGTTGTTCTCTGCTGAAGTGACAGATAACTAAAAAAGTAAACATTTGGATGGAGGACAGGCAATTCACAAGGGGAAATAGGAATGGCCAACAAACAAAAAAGCTCAGCCTCCCAAGTAGCTGGAACCACAGGCACACGCCACCACCCCGGCTAGTTTATTTCTTGTAGAGATATATTTTTGATGGGTTGTCTCACCACGTTGTCCAGGCTGGTCTTGAACTCCCGGGCTCAGGCAATCCTCTTGCCTCGGCTTCCCAAAGTGCTGGATTACAGGCGTGAGCCATATCCCCAGAGGTTTTTTCTTATGCGTATAAAGCCACCCACGAAACAGTCCAAATCTGAGCTGCCTGGAGGGAGGTTTGGGTGCAAGCTCTGGCCCCCCTTCCAGGGTGGGTGCCCTGGCCCAGAGAGAGCAGAGGCAGAGGTGCGTGTGGGGAGTGAGCTCGGGTGCCAGTCTGTGAGGACTTGGCTCGTGCTTCTGCCGCTTGCCGGCGTACGACACCTGGGGAGCAGCTTCACCTTGTGTGCCTCAGCTTCCCCATCTGAAGTCGCCGAGCCTGCCTCCTGGGGCTGTGGCGAGGAAGAGTGCCGGGCCTCGATTAGGGCCAGGCGAGTGCCCGGCAGGCGGAGAGCGGGGAGCGTGGCTGCCCTGAGCAGTCGTCCTGCCCTGGTCCCTTCCCAGCATCCCCCCGGGCCCTGCGAAGCTGCCTTTGCTTGCTTGGGCCCAGGTGACTTGGAGCCCGCTGGGAGGAGTGGCCTGGGGGAGGCCGAGACGCCCGCCCTGCCCCTTTCTACGCAGGCCAGGAGACTAGACCCAGCAGCTGGGGAGACCCACGGGCACCGATTCCCGCACGGGCGGCACGCGTGTGTCCTCAACAAGCCCTCCTGAGAACATGTCTCCCTGCTCAGTCACCACCGTAAGGGATGCCGCGGAGGGCAACCCGGGGCAGGGCACACATTGATAGAGGGACATATCCTATGAATCAACTTCTGTCGCCCTCCCAGCAGCCTCGAGCGTGTGGCTGACGCACCCCGACCCCGAAGAGGAGGAAGTGGGAAGGGACGGCCCTGCGTTCCACGCCTTCCTGTGCCCTTTGTCCCCAGAGGCCCCTGCCTGAGTACCTGGCAGGCCTGAGACCAGGGAGACCCGGGAAATCCTGTGCCAGCAGACGGGCTGGGGGGCAACACAGGACACAGCCCAGGGGAGCATAAGCCGGAGGAGGGGGCCACGTGACAGAAAACCTCTGCCTTTGATGGATTCAGCCCGAGGGGATGCCTATCACATTTCCTATCAGTCACCAATTGCTGCGGTGATGCTGTCTAATAACCATGTCCAAAGTCAGGGACTTTAAGTAAGCATCATTGTCCTCACAGTCATGAGTCTGATCTGGGAAGGGCAGATTGGACCCAGGTCCTTTGAGGTGTCTTTCCTCCTTCTTGGGCCACCAGCTACCTATGCCCCCTCATTATGACATCCAAGGCAGAAGCACAAGAAGGGTGAGTGGAACCAGATGGGACATGCTGTCTCTCCCACCCACACCCTGTCGGCTGAGGCAAGATGCGTGAGCACGCCCAGCTTCCAAGGGTGAAGAGCTGCAAAGGCCCGTGGCGGAGGAGCATGCCCAGGGAGACCGAGGGTCCACGAAGAGTGACCCAGTCTGGTACCTGCTTCCCCCGGGAGCCACTCTGGGTGGTGGGCGGGACTGACGCCAGAAGGGCCACTTTGCAGGTAAGGAAACTCCCATGGTCTAGAGAGGAAAATGGTTTCTTTCTCGTCCCAGAACAAGGTGGGCCTAGACCCCAGGCCACCTGGTCTCTTAGCTCCGCATGTGGCCCACCAGCCTAGACGTTGGCTACCCACCCTGCACGCACCGGGGCACGGCTCACTCCCAGCCGTGTTACCAGACCTCCAGATATAACGTTTCCAGAAAGCCTGAGGCTGCAGGAGGTGCACATATGATCACCCGTGGGCACTCACACACACACACACACACACACACACACGCATGCACACAGATGAACACACACAGAGAGGGTGAGAGCTAATTTTTGGCCAAACTGAGGGATTCTAGAGGAAAAAATCTATATGCAATACTGTATTTTTAGTCTTCACTGGTGCTTAAAAACATTTCTGGCACCTTTTGAGATGGAGCGCCGCTGGGTGAGCTTAGGAACAGAAAGCTGCACTGTGCTGTCACCTGTCCCATCAACAAGCCTCGCCAGGTGCACTGCCACAGGGGCAGGGCTGCGTCCGGCTGCACTTGCCTTCGCAGACCCCAACTGTGTCTCAAGTGGTGCTCACCCTGGAGCACCGGCCGTGTCAGGCCCAGCGTGTCAGAGACGGGTGGAGGGAGGACACCATCGCGTCAGAGACAAGCCAGTCGGGCAGATGCTGAGCCCTCTCCACTATGTCTAGGAGAAGCGGGGGTAGTCGTCTTCCTGGCGCCCCACGGGCCCTGAAGGGTGACTGGACACAGGCGTGGCCCCCACACCAACACCAGCCATGGGTCAGACCTGCCCCAAGACAACACAGTCCGGGGAGGGTGGGGCGGCCAGCTGAGCGGCCTTCCTGGAGATGTCTTCAGTCCTTCAGAGACTGTTCCTCTCGGACACTCCCACAACAGCACATGTGATGCCTGGATCCCGCCAGCTCGCTTGCAGGGCTGAGTGGCCTGAGAGCAGGGCTAATCCTGGGTGCTGTGTGCCAGGTAGGCCCTGCGCTGAGTGTTTGCTGGGTCATGGAGGGACTTGACAGAATGAGGCCTGTTCCCGTCCCCAAGGAGGAAGGGTGGTGGTCGGGAATGACGACATGGTGCAGGGAGTGGCGTGGCAACAGGCCCAGGGGCTGGGAGAGAAGCCCTTCCCGCTCACCTCCGTCCCTCCACCTCTTCATCTGGTCACTCCGGATGATGCCCCTTTCCACCTGGGCTCCTGGCGGGGCCCTGTGCCAGTCTTTCCTGACGATGGTGGGGACAGCAGCCCGTGTGGGTGCAGCATCCCGCATCAACCCACTCACCTGGTCCTTGCAGACTCTCGCAAGGTCAGTGGTCCCTGTTTCCCGGCCAGAGAAACCCGGGGGACATGGAGGGTATGTCCAGCGGGTAGAGGCTCATGCATTTAGTTTCTCTATGTGGGAAGGTCACTGCAAGGGCTGACTGATCCTACAGCCGTCACTGTCCCCAAGCATGTCTGTGCCATCACCTCCCCTCCTGCTTTCCAGGGCCCTCTGGATCTGCCTCTTTTCTGCCTGGCACTTCCACTCTACCCCGGACATGAGCCTTCCCTAAGTTTGGCCATGGCTCCCTCCCTACCTTTTCTTCCCGTCTTCCCCTCCGAGGGTCAGATTGGCCACCTGCTCCAGGAGACAACAGCCCACCCAGGTAAAGGGGCACGCATGGGAGCTTATCTATTTTTAGGTAAGGTTGCAGGCTCTACGGTGCCCATTTCACAGAGAATACTGAAGCCCAGAGTGGGGGACAGACTGGGACAGGAGCCCACGGCAGGAGAGGGAGAACCCCAGCTGCGTCTGATCTCAAAGCCTGGATGGGGGCAGTGCAGGTGAGGGGAGCGTAAGGACGGCAGGGCTGTCAGGAAACTGCGTTTGCTGCTCTGGAAAGTGGGGAGTGGTGGGGCCAGCCAGTCAGCTGTGAAGAGGCTGCACCCACCCCGAGGACAGGGCCGGCTGTGGAGGGCTTAAGGAGTGGGGCATCGGGGACAGATCTCCGAGCAGCAGCCCAGGGAATCGGGGGCAGGGAGGCTGGCAACAGGGAGGCTGGCAACAGGGAGGCCGGAAGGGGGTCCTGGAGAGACGATCCCTCGGCAGAGACAGGCGGCAGGGAGGCGGGAGGTGGGGAAGGGCGAGGATGGCAGCACCCTCCTGTAGGAGACCCTTCCTGAGCGTGCCGGGCGCTTCTGCCCTTACACGATGGCTCCTAGCGGCCAGAAGCTGGGGATGCCGTGTGATCTCTGACTGCCTTCTGCCCAGCCACGGTCAGGGCTCAGGTCCTTAGGAAGAGGGTGGAGTGGACGTCGGGAATGAACGCCCCGGTTTGCGGGTCCCCTAAGCACCGTGCCACACCTGTGATGAGGACACTGATGGCACAGTCCTGCAGGGCGCCGTCAGGACCACGCCTGAAGGCAGGTGGGGGTGGAGGGCCCTGAGGAGCTGCCAGCCAGGCAGGCAGGGATAAGGCGAGGTGCCCAGACTGCAGAGACTGCAGGGAGAGGGAGAGGGAGGGGCCCAGTGAGGCCCTAGCCTGAGACAGCAGCACCAGAGGGAGGGGAGGGAAGGGGGCAGCCAAGGTAGTGGAGGTCAGAGGGAGCGCTGTACTTCTGGAGAGAGAGGCAATCCAGGTTTACATGATGCCAAGGCAGGAAGGAGCCAGCAGGATGAAGAGGTGGTGCCCAGCGATCCCCTACAGGGAAGGCGTGGGCTGGGTCTCAGAGGTGGGCGTTGGACTGGTGGCCTGAACGTCAAAAGTGCCAGGAGGCTCAGGTGCAGCGCGGACCTGCTCTCTGAGTCTACGTGGGAGCCATGTTCCAGGGCTCTGATGACTGCCACGCAAGATGCAGAAAATCCTAGCAATGATCACAGACTTTGTAAGAAACTATATAGGTAGAAATGCTCCTGTTTACATCCAGGTGTCCGTCTGAGCTCAAATAATATGCAAGGCACAATTCATCATTTCCCCAGCTTCAGCGAGGTCAGGCCCATGGCCTAGCCCCACAGGAGAAGTAGCTTTGCACTTGAACCTCAGAGTCTGCAGGACTGTCCGTACACGGCATCCACGCATGGACGGCTCTGGGCACAAGTCTCCGGATCTCCCTGAGGGTGGCACCACCCCAGTCTGGAGCTGACGGAGGCATGTTCTGAGTCTTAATCCGGACCAAAGAGCTGGGAATAGAAAGAGCTTTCTGAATGGTCTTCTCCACCCCAGCCCTAGGGAGTCTCTTCCTGGTGGGCAACCCTGAACTGGAGACTGCCCTCCTCACTGGCTCTGGGCGGGCTCTGGGCCACGGAAAGCTGCTCGGACCCTGGGAGAGGCCGTCGCTCTCACAGACAGCGGTAGCTCAGATCTACTGAGGTACTAGCAGGAGGAGCAGATAATACTGAGTCTTTGCGCTGAGGCAGAACAGAGCGCTTCTCAGAACCAACACACAGAAGAAGGTCCTGCTACCATCTCAAGGACATTTTCCTAAGGACAGCTCTGGACGTCCCCACACTGATGGAGAGCCACGACAGGGAAGTTGAGAGGGACTTGCCCGGGACATCCTTGCAGGCCAGAAACCAAATCAATGGATGTTTTCACAGCTTATGAAACAAACACAACTGACATCTGTTCACAGCACCCAACACCTGCTCGCACTGAGCAGGCCTGCAAAAGCGCATGCGGTCTCAGCATCTAACCACACAGGTTCAGCTGAGGGCTCCAGGTCCTGGTTCCTGAGGGTTCACACCAGGGCGGGCCAGGCAGAGGACACTCACTTCTGTCTGCTCCCCAAATTTCCTAGCAGAAGCCAGACTGGGGGAATCCCCACAAGGAACCTCCAAAAGGAGCTAGACATCATTTCCCTGAGGTCCTATGGAAAGGTCTACAGACAGCTTCTAACAGAGTCACGGCTCAGAGTCTTGAGAGGGGGGATTTTAGCAAGGCTGGGAAAACAAAAACACAACCGCTCATTGTCCAGAATCTTGGACGACCATGCAGAACGCAGAAAGGAATGAGCCAAAACGTCTTAACTTTGTAAGACCAGGAGGGAAAAAGACACAAACTTACAACTCCTACATCAAAGAATAAACAAAAGAGGATAACCTAAACTACAGCTCTGTGGACACAGGCGGCAGTGAAGTCAGTCTGGGGACAGGCCATCCAGGGGGCTAGTTCTGGCGTGAGTGCAGCAGCCATGGCCCCGCCCTGCGGCCACCGGGGCAGGTCAGGGCTCCTGTGCGAAGATCCCTGGCCCCGACCTCTCAGGTTGCCTACTGGGACGCATAGGCCGGGCTCCACAGCCCTGAGGGGGGACTGGCTTTGCGAACAGGAGGCGATGTGTTGAGGGACGTCAGTGACGAGGCGGCAAAGTCTAAGTGAAAGAGAGACAAAGTAAGCCACAGAGCCCAGGGGGAGCGGGACGGTCCTCAAACACTGTCAGCAACAAGGCAGACAGGCAGCAGGAAGTGCCTGCCAAGTCCGGCTGGGCTGGCCCTGAGAGGGAAGGGGTGAGGCCAGGAGTTTGAGACCAGTCTGGGCAACACAGCCTGCAGTGAGGCCGGGACGTGACCCTGTCCTTGACAGCACAGAGCAGGCCAGAGCGTCCATCCCTGACCTCAGGACAGCCTGGCAGCCCCTGACAGAGTGTGGCACATGGGAGCGAGGCCTGGGCCATCCGGCGGACGCAGCTCAGGGTGAGAACACCGTGTGAACAGACCCAAGGGAGCAGATCTGAAGATAGCGCCAAGACCCTGGTGGCCAGCAACACGGGGGTAGAGTGTTGGGAGAGGTGGCTAGAAAGGCCTAGGCCTGCTGCAGGAATGACTGGGCACAGCTGCACAGCTGCAAGGGTGAGCTGCAAGGATCCTGCAGCTGTCTCGGGCACCCCCATGGGCATGAGGCAGCCAGGCAGACGGCGAGGGTAGGTGGGATGGCCTCACCCAGGAAAATGCTTCTATGCACAAGTTGTCCCCTTTCAAATCACTCATGGACCCCCTTGAAGCCTGCCCACGGCCCTCCACGGGGTCAGCAGACATCAGTTCAAGGACTCCTGACGTACGGGAGGGACCCTCGGATGGGAATCCAGAGACGTGAAGGCTGTGGTGTGTAGCTGCACAGGCTGGGTCCTGCACATCTTCAGGGGCACCACTCACAGAGAGAGGTGCCCCCTGGAGTTGTGCTGGGCCACCAGGGTCCCTAGAGGCCACCAGAGAGGCAACTGGACTTTGGAAAGAAATGGGATTTGCCCTCCTTCTGGGAAATCCCGCCTTGGACTGCCCAGAAGCCCCATCCTGGAGTTAGCTGGTCTGACCCAGTATAGAGCTTCCTGGGGCAGCCCCCACGGGGGGGGTCACCCAGTGCCAGTGTGCCTACCTGCCTAGACCTCCACCAGCATGGCTGTGCCTGGGAAAACTCCTGCAGGCCCAGGCCTGGCATCTGACCCCCCCTTTCCTGCTCCCCCTGCTGGCTCTCACACCTGTCCTCTGGGCCTCAGTTGGCTGTTCCTCTGCCCAGCCACAGGCCTGTAAAGGCTCAGGGTCCAGGCCTTGGCCTTCCTCCCTCTTCCCCATGGCCTCCTCTTCCCAGCAGTCTGCTGGGCTGTGCCCGCGGGAGCATACTCACAGTGGGGGCTGTGCCCAGGGCCGGCTCGGGGCGTGAGGGCTGCAGGCACGGCCAGCTCTCGGGGTGCGCAGACCATGTGGTAGGCTGCAAGAGTGCCCAGTTGGTCAGGACTGGTGGGGCAGGGGCAGGGGTGGGCCGGGGATACACCGGACCGGTCTTACCTATGACCATGACAGCCATCCCAGCCAGCAGGACAGAGAGCATGAAGAACATGACTCAATAGGAGTCCAGGAAGTGCTGAAAGAGGCTGGCTCCATCTGCATCAACAGGAAGATGAGTTAGCAGAACCGCCAGGGCCCCTACACTCCCCATGCGGGTGTGCCACAGCCGCGATGGGATCCTCTTCCCATGAGGATGGGGGGTCTCCGAGGACTAAGGCTTTACAGGGACCCAGGTCAGCGTCTGGTCCTGCTATCCTAGTGCTGCATCTCTGTTCCTGCTGTTCTAGTGCTGCATCTCTATTCCCAGACCAGCTCTCCTGAGCCCCTGATTCCCCGGGGATGGGCCCTTCCCATGCCATGGCCCTGGGCTCAGCGGGCAGGCAAGGTTCCCGGGCCTATCCTGCCCGAGGTTAACCATGCCGCCCCAAGAGGCAAGGAGGACAGTTCTGCAGATACCAGGCTGTGAGTGAGAGCCTCAAAACAAAGATACCGGCTGAGATCACCCTGGTGGGCTAGGGTGCCACCACTCTCAGAACCCGAGTCTCACTGAATTTGATGCCTCACGTACCCGTGCCCCAAAGCTGTTTCTCCTCGATCCCCACCTGGAGGTGGCCCTGGCTTCTTCCTCCATCCTCCTCCTCCTGGCCCCTGACCCTCACACCACGCCACCAGGCTGCCCAGTCAGGACGCATCCCTGCTCTCCCAGCTTGGCAGGAAGAAGGCGGCAGGTGACCTCGATGCCCCTAACGGCCACCTGCTCCCTTCAGCCTGCTCCCAGCCAGGCAGCCAGACCAGCCACATCCCTTCCCTGCTCCACTCAGGGGAAAGCCCAGACCCTGGCCTGGCACTCTGGCTCTTCCCGGCCCAGGGCCCCATCATCCTGGGGTCCTCTCACTGCATCACCCTCTCCCCGGGCTCCCCTTCCTTTCAGACCTGCTGAAGCAGCCCCTAGGACTTAACTCCTCCTGCCAGGCTACAAGCAACCCCCTCTCTTTTGCCGCATCATCAGAGCCATCTCTTTCCTATGTGCCTGTGATGCAGGGTCCACTCTCTCCAAGGGACCTCATGCATCTGCCTGCAGAGTCTGGCCCACGACAGGTGCTAGTAAGTGGCATGAAACGAATCTATTCACTCAGCAGTAAACACTCACTGAACACCCGCTCTTGTCAGGTAGGCCCTTCTGAGCACTTTCCCTGCATACATAACTTGTAGATGGGGAAGATGAGTGAAAATTCTGATAATCAATTATGTTGTTATATAAATAGGTGGTTGGCCACAGTGCGGTGGTGAAAGGAAAGGGGTAAGTGTTTGAGAGGGGATTGCATGTTAAGTATTATCTGAGAAGGTAATACTTGAGGAGGTGAGGGTGTTGGCCATGGGGCCACCAGGGGGACAGCATCCCAGGCATGGGGAACAGTGGATGCCAGGGGTTTGAGCTGGGGGCAGCACATGTTCCAGAAACAGGAAGGAGGCCAGCGAGGCTGGAGCCGGCAGCACCAGGGGAGATGGGTCATAAATGGACAGAAAAGACCCATCACGCCGAACCTTGTGGGCCACTGCAGAGACTTAGACTTTGCCCCCGAGGGAGGATGTTGAGGAGAAGGGGGCGTGGCCCCTCTGGCTGCCGTGGTGAGAACAGATGGGAAGGCTGAGAGTGAAGCGAGCCTGATGGCCCAACAAGCAACTGTCACTCGGAGGGACGTCCTGCATTGCTGACTTCTCCGAGTCTCACCCCCCCAGGTGCCTACTGACACCTGCCAACACTCTGGCCAGTCCCTCCCCACCCAAGTCGGTCTTGGCCGAGGCTGTCCCGGGACTCACAAGGACCAGGCCTACGGCGGCCCATCACCAAGGCCACAGCCACGGGGATGCTGACGGCGTGGCCGGTGGAGGGGCTGGAGAAGGTCAGGGCAGTGGACAGAGGCCCCCGGCTGCCTGCCACAGGGTCCGAGATGCTGACTGTGCATGTGACGAAGCTAGGCGGCCCCCAAGTCTTCTCCTTCGTGAAAGCCAGTACAGCCGACGACCCGGATTTCACCTGGGAGAGACGAGGGCTGGGTGTAAACTCTGCAGAGCAGATGGACCGCTTTGGGACGCCCCCGTGGAAGGGCAGTCTGGGCAGCCCGCTCTGTGAGCACCCCCATTTCAGCTGACATGTTGGGCTTCCTCCCCAGGGCCCAAAGGGTATGGGCGAGGCCCTATGCCCAGGTCATACCTCCCAGGCAGGCAATGATGCCTGGCCTGCTTGAGGACCAAGTGTGCCATCTGCAAAAGCAAGAGGCACCATCTGTACTCAGGGCACTTTGAAAGGAAACGACAGACCAATTTCATGGGCTGCTAATCAACTGCCGCTTAAAAAATGCTAAACCAAGCCGGGCTCGGTGGCTCAGCCTGTAATCCCGCGCCTTTGGGAGACTGAGGTGAGT